TGCAGACAAGAGGTGTGGTGGCAAACCCTGATTCACAGCTCAGTCCATAGGCTGCTTTGCAATGCTAATCTCTCCCCCATACCATTAGGAAGTTGGAGTTTCAGGAGAACTAATTCATTCCAGGGCCAGATGGGATGACCTCCAAATGTCCTCAGTGAGAAGTTCCCTCAGATGCATGATGTCTATAACACCTGTGATTCTTGGCATGCAGCCTCTCCCCACTGCCTTCTTTTTCCTACTCCCTGGTGGGGCACACACTTTTTTCTCACGGCATCATGGAAACAGGACCAGAGCCAAGATGCACAAGTGAGCTGGGCCAGTCCAGACAATTATGGCATTCGACAGAATTAAAGACTTAGAACTGGTTTTGGGGGGGCAGGGATGAAGGAGGACAGCTAAACCGTGTGTAAAAGTTGCATGAAAAATATTTCTAAAGAGATGCCTCGTATGGAGAAAGTGGGGGGAAAGTAGCATTTCTCTCTCACTGTGAGTCATTCAGTGGAAGGCTTCTCCTTCACACAATGACGTAGGGAACTCATTGCCACAAAATGTAGTGATAATGTCAGAGCTTCAGCCAGGACTTGGTAGCAAATCTCTGTTTACTAACTCTAACTTGCATTTGGGAACTAGCCCCAAAGAATCTAGGACAAGGCTTGGATAGATAGGTTGCTTTTATTTCAGATACAAGAAGCCCTAATAATGAAGAGCAGCTACTGCAGAATAAAGCCACCAGGCCCTCAGGTTTAAATCTTGCATTTCATTCACCCAACCTTAGGTAATAACAGAGCTCTTGCTGTTCATTTCTCAGCCTTGGATCCAGAAGACATCTGCGCCATGTTTTGATAATGGACCTGTCTAGACTTGTTTTCTTTGCTTCTGCTCCTGCCACTTCAGCCCTTGTCAGCTCAAAGAATCATACTTGTGAAGCTGGAAAGGACCACAAGGATTATCTAGTCCAATCCACAGGACCATCTGGTTCAACTCCAGTAGAAACCAATCTTGGAAATTTGCTCCTACATGTGCATGTATAAAACTATACCTGCCAGAAACTACATTACAAAAAGAGCCAGGACAAAGAAATAATGTTTGTTGAGCTAAGAACTGCCTGTGACATAAGGTGCCCCATTTATGACATTCATGATCTCCATCTGCAGATACCAAATCTTCTTTCACATACAAGCTACTCTTGTCCATAAAAATATCTAAGTATAAATTCATGTACCTTCCCCACTCTTCTTCTAGAAGAAACAGCAAAAGAAGGAGATGAGTAGAGTAGAAGAATAACTGGAAAGAAAAGGAAGTCCCGAGTTTACACATTCCAACCTTACAAAAAGAGTTAAATTCATCAGGCAAACAGAGCCCCTACCCCTCCCCACCCACTCACACGCAAGAGGTAACCTTCAGGCTAATCTTTTAAAGTATCCATATTTTTCAGCATGCTTATGATCATTTGTGAGAGCTAGTTTGGTGTTATGGTTAAGGCATCAGGCTAGAAACTGGGAGACCATGAGTTCTAGTCCTGCCTAGGCACAAAGCCCGCTGGGTGACCTTGGGCCAGTCACTTTCTCTCAGCCCTAGGAAAGAGGCAATGGCAAACCA